AGGGTTCTCCCTTCCCGCCGGCGGCGTTGTCAGTAGCGCTGTGGGAGAGGGCCGGCGGTTTTCCCTCCTGTTTGCCGAGCGGTTTGGGGCAGGGAGGGGGCAGGTTCTGCTGCTGGTGTCGGCAGATTCGGAGGTGGAAGGGCGGGAGAGCGCCGCAGGAATCGCCGCGCCGTTAGAGCCAGTGCGAAAGCTTGGGGGGATGACACAGAAGTCCAAGTGACCAGAATTATTTGTTTCTTAATTGCACGGAACGCTTCTGACCTTATAACGCGTTTAAACAGTTGGAAACGAGGTTTGAAAAGCAGCAAGAGGAAAGTCAGGGTACAGATTTCATGAAGCTTAATTTGACAGATTTTAATCTAGCATAGCTTGAAAGGAACGTAGGAATATATGGAACAAGAGGCACTTTAGACTGTAAAACAGAACGGACTTGAGCAGTCTGCTTATCTGTGGGTGCTTCTGCTGGAGAAAAAGGCGGTCCTGAGGGCCCGTTGTGTTAAGGTTCACTTCAAGTTCACACTTTGAAATAGAGGCGCATTTCTGCATCCGCAACAAAATGCTTAAGGTTTGCTCTAAAGCACTTGCTGTTTCTATAACCGTATAAGTGGTCTGTAGTGTGCTAGTCCATACACAAGACTTGGCATTTCTAGGGCTTGTTTAGGGCAGGTAAGCAATACTGGTGGCCTAAAGCAATCCCCAGTGAAGCAGATTTGACCCGGTTGAGGCTAACATCTCTCTTGAGGGAAGAGATTGGATTTGTTTTGCTCAGGTTCATTGAGAGGTCTCTGCAATGGAAAGCACTTCTTCCCAAGTCCTTGAAAACTGCTGGTGGGCTGTAAATATTTTCAGGAGGTGACCTTGATAATTCTTTGGGGCTACGTATTTGTGTTTCTCAACAGTGTTCTGTAATTACCTCATTTCTTATTGTGCCTTATTTAAATGAATCTTCCAAAGTCATCAAGGAGGACAGATTTATAAGGGACTGATCCAAACACAGACACGATACTGCCTTTGCCTTTGGTGTTAATGTTGTGATACAGCACTGCTTTGCTCCATTTTCAGCATGAGTGCACTTACATATCTAGCAAGATGCCTTTACCACCCCCTATAGAAAGGGAAATAAAATATAATAGAACAACATAGTGGAAAGTAGTTCTGGAATAACTGTCAGTATATGGAGTTAAACTGCTGTAACTGTGCCAGCGTGTAAGACTGTGCTTTTTGAATCAGAGAGAAGAAAGATTTGAAGTCCAGAGATGCACAGAAACTCCTTAAATCTTACAAGTTTGGGCCAGATAGGAAAACTGGTGGTTTGTGGTCTTTCTTTGAGATCACAGCTTGGCTGCTTGTTTGTTACATATTGTTGGGAAGCAGGTTGCTGCGTTCAGACCAGCAACTGTAGCCACATTTCCTTCATCTTCTGTGCCCCTCCTGACTGTTAGCTACTGACTTGTCAGGACCAGTATAGAGTACCCCATTGAGGATCTCTTTCTTGGGACTCTTTGGGTCAGCGATGGCAGAGGCTGCTCCTTCTACAAGTCAAGATGAGCCATCGCTCACTCTAAAAGAGGTCGGTAGGAACTCAGGAACTGGCACACAGCGAGTTCATTCAGTTGAGAAGCCTGTCACAGGTACCAAGATGGCAAAAAGAGGCACCTTTTCTGGAGGATCCTGTCCTGATGGCGGGTGTTCCAGAGTATTGAAAGTTGCTGCCTCCCTACAGCTGCCGTTTGATAGAAGACAGCCTTTGAGGGGGACGGCGCAGGAGGTGGTTGTGACTGTGGGTCCGTGTCCCTGCCTAAGTCCACTGGTCACCTTTTTCCCTGGTAAGAGAACACTGAGTCTGGCTGTTGGGAGAGGATAGGCTGCATTATAACCTATGTCACTGTACTAGAAATCTGGTCTTGTGGCTAAGTGTTCATCCCTGTCTATAACTGCTCGTTCTGAGGAAATGCACGTGTGATGTAGTTGGCCTGCTGGGATCTAGACAGCTGTGATGCGTTTTTGTGACATTGAAAAATGGAGTTTAGCATTGGGTCTGCACTGGCAGACCCCTTTATTGACAGGTGATGGACATGGGCACAACTGGGAATTATGGCAGCTCAGTGAGCTGCCACCCAGGAGCTTCTCTAACTGTGAGCTGAACGTGTTATCAGGTTCAGTGAGCCCCCGTTAACTCAGTCACACTGACCATGCTGTGCCATGGGCTTGCTCTGTGCTTCAGGGCTTTGGCAACTTGGTTATGTCAAACTGCCATCAGATGTTCTGGCCAAAACTGATCTGTGTGAAAGAGCTCCTCTGCCTAGTGTGTTTTTTCTTCAGATTTGCTGGCATAGCAGTTTGTATAATTGCTTTGTAATTCCATTGTGCCAGAATGAAGAGTGTTGCTTTAAATTCTTTTAATGGGGAATTGTTTTTTCTTTTAATCCTTGGCAGAGGGTGGGGATAATGCAGTGAAGAACTGCACATCCACCTGTGGCCTCTTTTAAGAATACGGAAAAGGAAGCATCTTCATCTTCCGACCTAGCAGTAAAGGAGCGGGGGAATAGATGTAAATAAAAATATTTAGAAATCCATCTTCTTATTGTCAGGTAACTGATTTGAGCTGCACTTATTAAGGAGACTGTTGTTCTGGCAATCCATTAAATGTGTGGACTTAAACGTGACCTTAAATTTATGTATAAATGGGGAGTGTTGGGAGTTGGGAGGAACAGAGTTCCTTTTTATATTACATGAGAGACACAAACTAGTTGCTAAACAGTGTTTGTCAATGGGTATTCCTGCAGTCTGATTTTTGCAAGCACTATGTGCAGGACAAAAAGCTTGTTAGCAAAATAAAGGAGTCCGATAGCCTCTCACAAAGGAACATTTTGTCATATTGTCTGAGCAGTATCAGACATTTAGGTGTTGATCTCGTAACTGAGTTTACTCTAGGTATGTCCCTCCAGTGTTGTCTTAAGCACAGATCTACCTGCTAAACAATGTGTCCAAACCCGGGAATTTGTTCTAGCTTGTTTGTGTGTGCCGGCTACTTAGTGAGTTAGCACAGCAAGTCAGCGGTTAATGGAATCTCTGTGCAGTAAGTAATTCAATCACTTCTTGCTGCTCAGGTTTTATTTTGCAGGGTGATTCTTCGTCCAGTGAAGCTAATATGGTGTTAGATTATAAACTCCTTAGAAATGGTTTGCCTAGTGTTTTGCGAGGGATTGAGCACATGGTAAATGCTTATATGGGCGTTTGCATTGTCTGTCTTCTCATAACAGAATGTCTGACTTCAGAAGCAATGTGTGCTCTAGCTTATTATGTTCAGCTGCTACCTGAATTCAGTCATGGTATGTATAGTTCCAAAGTCATTAAAACTATATCTGAGAGTCTTTCCAAATGCAGTACTTGTTTTTTGTTTTTTAAAGTTTTGACCAATTACTAGAAAATTAGCATCCTACCTACAAGCTCTTGCCTCAAATGACCTTATTTTTTTCTTCTCCTTTTTCATCTAGCAGGTTGGGAACTTCTGATTTTTTTGCACCTATTTCTATGGCAACAGATTATAGGTTCACAAAAGGAAGGATTATTGCTTTTTATCCTAAATAATCCAGGATTTAGCAATTTCTTTTGCATACATTGTGAGAACGAAGGGCTGCTATTTAACCCTTGGTATCACTTCCTCAGCCTCAAGAGTGAGAAACGGAATCCTGTTTGGAAAAGATGGCAAGGTCTTGAGTATTTGGTCTCTGATATTAGCATGTTCTTAAATAGCCTTTGGCATTGGTTCTTTTTTTGCTTTATAGCAAATTATAGCTAATCTTTTGGCCTGTGTTTTCCACTTCTGTGTCATCCTTGAAATTAGCACTTCTACCTACTCTGTCATGTCATGGAAGTTGAGAGACTGGCGGTAGGTAGAGTCTGAGGTGTGGTGTGTCATATTTCCATGGGTGCCAGAGGATGGTGCCACAGCGGCATGAAGGTGGGATTGTAGCACTTTCTACAGCACCTGGGACCTGTGCAATAACCTGCATGAGAGGGTGGAGTTTAGGTTGTGCTTGCTATCAAAGTCTGTGCTCAAGGTGCAGTAGGATTTGTATTTTGGTGGTTAACATGCTGAAGCCTATGTGTTATATTTTCATAGCTCTTACACCTCTGATAGTGAGATGAAACTAGCACCAACAGGTGTTGCTGTCCATCCTTCATATAGCTGTTTTGATGTGTAGTTTGCTTGGCTTTTGGGCAGTGCTAGCTCCTGGATAACTTGGACTAGCGACCTAGATTTGTGTCTCGATTAAACTTTGCTTTTTATGCCTGTCGGTTTCAATGGTGGTATTTTTGACTTGGATCACTTACTGTTTTGAGCCCCCTTGGCGCTGAAGAAAGTTGAGCAGTGAATATTCATTTTGAGAAGGGTGTGGGTGTGTGCATCTATTTTGAGATGAGAATCTGTCACCCTAGTAGCTCCAGCCATTTTCTTTCAGCATCTGGCAGGGAGTCCTCTGTGCAGTCTGGCTTTTTAGGCTTCTTTCTAGTGCTTCATTTCAAGCTTATCCTGATCATTAGTACTTAAACAGGAGGCCCAAGCATCACTTGAGGGTTTGATATTTTATGAACCAAGTTTCAAGACATTGTTTATGGAAATGGGAGTGGGCAAGAATTGTAGGATTCCTGCTACAAAGGCTGAGAGAGAAGCCAGCTGAATTAAGGGCAGAACCACCTGCCCGTTTGGTTGCAGGGTGCCAGGCAACATTTCTGCAGCATTCAGAAGATGTTTTGCTGCAGAATATCGTAGCAGCAGCAAACATTTCCTAGAGCAGGAAGAAGAGAAGTTGCTCTCAACTGGTGAACACTTTGGCTGCCGTGACTTGCTTTCCAGGCCCTCCGTGAGCCTCCCTGCTCAGCTGCTTTCGCTGCTGCTGTAGAAGCTCTCAGCAGGAGACACGCTGATTGCTTGGTGGAGTTCGGCACCAAACAGGGCTGGTGGCAGCTGGGTCCATCTGTCTGCATAGCTGCCATAGCGAGTCCCTGCCTGGGCTTTGCCCTAACAGCTGCCCTTCCCATCGGAACTGCGACTGGTTCCGATGAACCCAGGCAGCTGTGTTGCCCTGACCTGCCAGGCACCTTCCTCGTGGGTATTGCACCGAAATTCAAGACAAATGCAGACTTTAGCAGGCAGGCTCAAGGGCCAGGCCACTGATGTTCTTTGCTCAAATGTCTGTCACAACCTGTTGCAATGGGGCCATGTCACAGCTGTTTCTCTTATAGTGACTATTGTTTTAACAGGATTGTTTTGAAGAACAACAGGCTCGTGGATCCAGGTCATTAGTCCTTGTCTCTTCAGTTTCAGTGCATAAAAAATGGGGAAGACGTGTTGATTCCTCAGTTCCTTCTTATGTATCCTAAAGCTGTGAAGAAACATCTATTTACTGTGCCTGAAACTTGGGATAATTTGATATGCCCTTGTCCTTTAAAATTTTTGTAAAAAGCAGGGCAGACAAAAGTGTACGCATTTCCTGGGTTCCGAGCACCACCGTACGCAGTTCTTGTGGATCATAACTTCTGTTTCCCAGAATCTTGTGTATTAAGCAGCAGCTCTATTGCACACTTTGCATGCGATAACACTGCTGATTATGGAGAGGACTTGTACGCCCAAATATGCCTCTGGAAAACAGCAGAGTGGGTTATTCACAAGGTTGATATTAAAGTTCTGGCATGTCTATGGTACTAGCACAGAGATATGAGCATCAGGCAGAATTTATTTCTACTGTAATAGTCCATATTTTCATTGCTAAAATGGCTACTCTGAGTCATCGTTAAACATACTGAATGGGAAGATTGATTGTTTTTCCAGCCTCTCTTGCATTTCTCTGTTTGAAAGCCATTGCTTTCCTCTGCATCAGCTGAATTCAGCGTTCATGCCTGACACGTTTCCTTTCCTAACAGGAAGAAGCCCACACACGTGACAGTGAACTGCTGGTTCTGCAATCAGGACACGGTAGTGCCATATGGGAATCGCAACTGCTGGGATTGCCCCAACTGTGAGCAGTACAATGGGTTCCAAGAGGTACTGTGACAAATTTGCTTGAAGGGTGGCTGGGAAGGTGCATGCCCTGTGGAACAGCGCTTGCGGGAAAGCCCCACTCCTCATTTCAGGTGATACAGGCCCAGTACAGATGAATATCCAGCGGTTTGACAGCTGGCAGCTCGTGCTGAGTGCCTGTGAACTTGGCAGCTGATCACTTGATCAAATTTGAGAAAGAATCCGTGTGTACTGGGATGTGCTGACATAGAATGATGGAGACAAATTTTCCTCTCTGGTTTCAAAGGGCAAAAAGGGCCTTGACATTTTCACCAGTATCTCTTAAGAGTCTTTTTTTCAATATATGGAACAATTCTTCTCTGGTTTTGTATTTTGGAACAGCTGAATTGCTTTATTTAGGGTATTAAGTAACAAAGTTAGTCTTAAGCCAAAATCCACCACCATCAAGTGCTTGCAGTAGGTGTACAGAACAGTGGGTGGGGGAGAAGATATGAAGCATTTTGTCTTTTTTTTACTTATTTCTTTTTTTACATAGGTGAATGCATGGAGTGCAGAGCTTAAGAAATCTTGTTATCAACCAGAGGATACTTAGCTTTGATTTTATGATCTCATGTTTGCTTTCCCTCCTGCCTCCCTTTTGTTTCTTGTCAGAATGGAGACTACAACAAGCCCATCCCTGCTCAGTACATGGAACACCTTAACCATGTTGTGTCGGGTGCTACGACCTTCTGTGATCCTACCAAACCGCAACAGTGGGTGAGCAGCCAAATTCTGCTTTGTAAGAAATGCAACAATCATCAAACCATGAAGATCAAACAGCTGGCTTCATTCTCACCAAGGGAGGAGGTAAGCGGTTGTTAGGGACTGGCATCACAGGAGAATGGTTGTCCAAGGCATTTCCATGCATGTATTTGCTATTTCTTCTCTGGTTAATTTGCTCTATAATGATGTATTTTGTCTGGCTTTGCAAATGGTACCATGCTGCAGCCTGGTAAGCTGGAAAGATAGGAATTTTTCAGTGTGCTATGGAATGATGCTCAAGTAGTCTTCAAAGCACTATGTGGCACTCCAGTGCAGAGGAGGTTACTGATTAGTGTTGCAAATTGACCTATCCCTACTCCAAAGCCAGAATATAATGACCTGTTCTAGGTGGACACCGGAAGTTGAAGCTTGAGCCCCAAACCAAACATGCACATTGCTGAGATCAGCTTACAACTCTAGAACTTACCATTGACCCAGCTGAGCTTACAGGATCTGGTAGGCACAACAGCCCACTAGTCACCTTGAAGACTTAATAGATTTTGTTTTTCCTGAGGCCTTGGCTGTGCTGCTCTGCTTTTACTAGTGGAGTGCACTTTTACTAGTGCAGACACACATCATCTCCCTGGTTAGGCATTTGTGCCTAGGAGGGCAAAGGGATTTTACAGCTGTTTCGTGGCCTTCTCATTACTTAATATGCATGGAGGATAGGATAGTGGGGTTTCTCCTTCACAGTTTTATGGCTCCCCAAAGTTCCACACAGAGAATTTAGTGCTGCACTCCTTGGCTTTCAACCATAGTCAAGCCTTGGGGTTGTAGGACTGGGCTATAGTGGGATGCGTTCATCTTCTGAGTTGCCTAATCCAGTCTGCTTTGTGTAATTGTAATGAGTTTAATCAGGATGACTCCCAGGGAACAGATTTACTTTTGATCATGCTTAATGAGAACATCTTTGGCTGGTTCCCTTTTCTCAGCTTTATTTCTAGTCCCTGCCTCTTGCCAGACATATCCACTTGCTCAAGTAATGCCAGACTTTGGCCCCTTTTTAGGCATTCAGTGAACTGCAGTGTCTGTGCCAGCTACGAAACACGGGACTGTTATCCGGTATGGTTAGATAGGTGTGTCAGTGACAGCAGTGGCCTCTCTCAGCATTGCTGGCCTGTCCAGTAAGGGATAACCCTGCCGCTACTAGTCTCTCCCATGTGATTCCTTCTCGATTCCGGCAGATGGAGCCTATGAAGCTGCTGCAGCAAGCCCTCAGGCAGCTACGTTGCATCTTCCTGCTTCCCTCCCCCAGAGAAGCTGCATGCTTTCAGCTGTGTGCTTTTGGTACAAGGATCTTGATAAAGATTGGGAGTGGAGATGGAAGAGCCTTAGAAGCCTTTGTGATAAGTGATGTGTCCACTGTAGTGACGCTGAAAAATGCACCTTTGGCCCTACTCGCTGTCTGTTTTTACAAGTGCTATTAATAATTTATGGAACTCATCTTACCAGGGCTTTCAAACAGTGACAGCCTTCAAGGCTGGGGCTGAGTTTTGGAAGGAGCGTGTCTCTTTCTTCAGCACAGTGGTATGAAGGAACAACAGGCCTTTTATGTCCCCTCTTTTGAGGAGGGGAAGAGCAATTCTCGTTTTTTGTCCCCTGTGTTGAGTTCATAAGGTCTCAACAAAGACAGCAAAATCGGGCCACAGAAATTCAACTTCCTGAAATTGGGTCACAGCAGTCTTCTCCAAGGGCTGTTTTGTCACTTCTGGGGCATGGAGGCTGGGTCAGCTCTATGCAAAGTTGGTTGTGTGGCTAGCCTCCAGCTTGGCCACTGTTGAGGCCTGCTTGGTTTCAGGGGGCTGTTCCTCTGGAGTCTGGAAGCATGCCTTGCTCGCATGTCAGTAGCAAGCGTGATAACTGGTGAGGGACCTGCAATTCTCACCTACTTTTCCTCTCCTCTCACCAGGGCAAATACGATGAGGAGATTGAGGTGTATAAGCACCACCTGGAGCAGACCTACAAGCTGTGCCGTCCATGCCAGGCTGCTGTGGAATATTACATAAAACATCAGAATCGGCAGCTCCGGGCGCTGCTGCTCAGCCACCATTTCAAACGGCGTGAGACAGACAAGGCCTATACTCAGGTACATGGGGAGAGAACATGAGGGAATTTAGGTGAAAGTGCAGAGAATTAGGTACCTCTACACCTGGGTTTGCTGCTGGGAAAGGAAGGCAGCGGCCTTGGGGCTCTCTAACTGGGAGCTTGGGTGCATGGCAGAAGTTGAGAAGAGCATAGGGTGGTTGCTACAGACGTTCCTGATGTTAGTTTGAGGTTTTCCTCTTGCTAGTGTCCTTTAGTGCAATTGCCAGAAGATAAGTCTAATGTAGTAACAAAAACAGAATGGAAGGAAAATAGTGGGACAGGCAGAAAAGGGGAGATAGGGTTTTGTACAGTGAGGAAACTCATTTATGAGTACAGTGTAGGAAACTACTGAATATGGGGCAGGGGGGAGGAGAAAAACGATGGGAAGTGATTAATGACCTTCTCTTTGTCTCATTCCACTGCCTGACCTTGGCTTCTGCTCATAGCTCTGCTGTTGGTCTTTGCTAGTCTACAACATCCCATGTGGTGTCAGCCCAGCACAGAGCCTTGAAAGGACTTGAGCAGTAAACCATACAGTCTGGAAGTAGTTCATAAAGCACCATTTCAAAACCTTAGTGTGGTTCATTCAGCTTCTGACAAGGTGTTTCTCCCTTTCTCTGCAGAATTTATGTTCATCCTCTTCTTCTGCTTCCATAACCACACCAGCTCAGGTGATATTTCTGCGGTTCTTGGCCTTCATCAGCTGTGCATTCCTGGTTCTGATGGCCTTGTATGGGTCAGGTGACCCCTTCTCACTCAGTGCAGCAGTCCCTGCTCCTGTCTCCTCTGCTCCAGCGTCCATTCAAAACAGGACTGGCACAAGCTTACGTGCAGACTTGGAAAATGACACTTCTGTGACCGTGTCAGGCTGGCAGGACCTGCTCCGCCTGCTCCCAGAACAGATGGTGGAGAACCTGAGTGCTGCATGGGCTTATGGGAAGAATCACCAGATGGCAGTTGCTGTCCTTGGGCTGTTCACCTGCCTGTTGGCCATGTTCTTAGCTGGGCGGATCAGGTGAGTGTGCTCTTTTCTTCTGTTTCACTTAAAGGAAAACTGTGTAATGTTGGAGGTATTTTGCCCTGCCTTAAGTCAGTGGGCCAGGGAGTAGACATTTGCCAGAATGGCAAATGTAGTACTGGGTGGCACAGGTCTCCTTGTTGTTCTTTGGGTTACCAGCCAGCTGGATGGAGCCAGCAGAGCTTGCTTTGGGTCTCTGCCTTGGTTCATTCAATTTAAGCTTGAATTATTGTGAATGAAAACGCTCTGTAATCTGGTAGTCAATGGAACTCATCGATTCAGGTACTTACCACAGTGGCAAGGGCTGCAGGTATAACTGTAGTAAGATACAGTACATAACCTGCTCAGTCTGGGTACCCTCCCCACCTTTTCCCCACCTCCCCTCTCCTTCTTCAGGACAAAGGGGCTTCATTGGTGTTTAAACTCTTACCTTGTGTCTTGTTGGGTTTCTTTTTGGCATTGCAGGCTCCGGAGAATCGATGCGTTTGCTTCAGTCTTGTGGTTCGTAGTGATGAGTCTGCATTTAGCTGAGAGGTACCTGAAGACGGAAACACCCAACTGGCTAGACACAGCCAAATTTGGCACCACGTCCTTGTGCTGCTTGGTGGGCTTCACCGCAGCAGTGGCCACGCGGAAATCAACGGGCCATCGGAGATACCGGCCCCGAAGGTCAGAGCCAGAGCAGTGACGCTGGGGGAAGGAGGAAAAAAAGCCTTGCGAACTCTTTGCGACTGGTGCTTCTCTCTCCTCTTTTTATTTTCCCTTCCTCTTTTTATTTTTTTTAATTAGATAAGCAGTGAAGATTTCTTCTTCCTTTATATTATCTTTTTTCCTTTTTTTTCCCATCCTTGCTTCCCACTGTGCTAGCTGCTTGGAGCATTTCCACTGCTGGTGCTAGCCAAGGAAGCTACTCCTGCTGCCTCCATTCTCCCTTCCTCCTGAATCCTACGTCAGCAGTGCAAATATCCAACTTCCCCAAAGCCTATTCTTCCAGCAGCTGCTTCACAAACTGCTCCATAAATGCAGCCGCCTCCTTCCCATTCTGCTACTCCAGCCAAAGAGGTTCTGGCTTCATCCTTAGCCAGTCACAGAGGAATCCTCTGCCTTGATCCTCCATGGGGCCCAGGCCACCTTCAGTTTTCTAATGGTGCTGGTCATTTTAATTTCGAACTGATGGGAACTTGCCTCTGGATTCCAAGTCCTCGTAACGTGTGCTGTAGAAACACTGCATGGTGTGCAGGCATGCGACAAGGGGACACGCGTAATCCATAACCTGGTTCTTCTTGCCTTCCACTGTGTAGCATCACTTAACTGCATGCTCTCTCGCTCTGCCATTCTTCTGTGACTCCTGTTTTAAACGGAGAGGTGTCCTTAAGTGCTTTTGACTGGAACTTCGATAATTTATTTAAAAGGGTGCTTTAAAAGGTTATGTAGCTCAGGTTGTCTTAATTTGAATATCTGAAAGTATTCAGCTGTTTTAAGCTAAATTTTCAAATCTACCAGTGGCTGTTGCTTTCTATGCTGGTTTTCTTTGTTTTTTTTACCACCCCCATCCCCTCCGGAGGAGCATCTGTGTAAAAGCACAACTGGATAAAGATGCCTATGTTCCTCCGCTCCTGTAGCCTTAGAAAGAGAAGAACTATGGGACTATCAACCACATGCTATGGTATGTGGGCAGCTTCATCGTACATTACTACGTATTCAGTCGCTGTTTTTCCTTCTCGTTGAGAACACAGCTTAGGAGGATATGCTATAGGAAGGGGTGGGACCGCGTGGCAATAGAGATACATTTTTCTTGTTACTTGGAGAGGTTCTTTTTTGAAGTCTGGCACTAGTGCTAATGCTGCTGAAGGAAGGGGTCGGGAAATTGAGACTCTGAGTTGAGTGCCTCGCAGTCTTCTGCTGAAAGCTGGGATGGCTGGATGTTGCTGTGTGGGGAGGAAGGAGCTTTCAGCTGCTTGGGTTTTTGTAGGATTAACTTGCTGGGGCCTCTTAGGATAAGCGGTCTGATTATCCTGCACTGTTTTTTGCAAGATGCTCCACTGAGTTTCTCATCCGGATTTGGGTCTTTCAAGAGGAAATAGCATTGTTACAGAAGATCTGCTATTTTCTTTTGTTCAGAATAGCGCAATGGCACTTGCCACACTAATAGCCTGATATGAGTTAATTGGGTGTCTTGATCTTCCTGTGTATAAACTCTAAAATAATCAGAATGGAGCTCTCACTATGAATTATCTGCAGCTCCTGCTGCAAGATTCAGACACTACTGGATGCTGCAGATGCTAGTGAAATTATAGAAGCTTTTTTTAAAGGAAGCAAAGGATATTTCATAGCTTTTCATAGTTTTTGTTCTTCAAACCCATATTTGTTGGGAAAGCAGAAAGGTAGCACTAACAAAGGCTCTGTTATTGTTAATGATAAGCCAAGCTGAGTTTGCCATGGGAAGGTAGAGCTCCCGGCTGAAGGACCGTGTGCCTGTAACTTAACAACTGGCATGGGAAGGGACATGCAACCCTGCTTCCCATGTGTGCTCTCCTTTGGAACTTTTTTCCAGTGCCTTCAAATAACTGCAATATCCACCTCTAAGCAAACAGAGCACCTTTCTCCATTCTGGTGCTTGTGAATGATGCTGCTTTGAGGGTTATTTACTTACTTGTCCACAAGAGGAATCCAGCATCTGCAAAGACTGGTTCTGCTCTTCCATGTTCTCATCGTTTATCAATTCTGACCCAAAAGGTTTGTCTTCCAGCTCACAGTCCCAGGTTGTTTCTTGTTCCAGTCTCAGACTTTCAAAATGCTAAATAATAACCATTATGCCCCATTTTTCACTGGGACACTTTATTGAATTTAGAGAATTGTTTCAAAGTAAATAGTACCAGAAGCCATGTGACTTCATCAAAACAGGAAAAAAAGCCAGCATAAGTGTGCAGGGTCCTCAGTGGTGGGTTAGACTTTCAGTCACTCTGGCACGTCTTTCCTACTCTCTGTTAGGAGTTTTAGTAGGAAATGTTCCTTAAAATCCCAGTCTATTCTCTTTACCTGTCAGCCTGTTGCAGCAGGGAGCGATGTTAAGACAGACGGTGGTAAGCTGGTGAAAGGACAGGGATTGGCAGGGAAAAAAACAAACGGGGAAACCAAAACCAGTGCCAGCACTGCCATTCTCTAAACAAGCTGCACAGAAGACCTAGGAAACCTTGGGCTATTATGTCCATTCAGTGAAATAAGATGTCTAGCTGCCTTTTTTTTTTTTTTTTCCTTCCCGCTTCAGTACTTTCAAGTTTTCCCCATAAAGGTAAATGTAGGAGAAGACTGATGTTTCTGTTTAGCTGTGATTTGTCTTCTGCACTTACCTATGGAAGTTGCATTGAAAGCTCCTGTTAGCTTCTAGCGCATGAACTTGCAACTGCCTGGTGTGGCAGAGGTGAGCAGTTGCTCTTGCTGCTCTGCTGTCGAGTATGTCCAAGTGATGAGAGGAATCTCATGTTTAGAAGGATACATTGAGACTGCTAGAAGGAGCTGGGGTGTGAGCAGCTGACAAACTGTTAAAATGTGTGAGGATGGGTCATGGTAATATCATACCTGATTTCTAATGGCAATATCCTTTCTCTTTTTAATAAGAATAAAATTAATCTGTCCAAATTTTCTTGCCTAGTAGCAAGGAAACTCTAAGTAGCAGCCTCTAAAGATGCTTGTCAGCCTCTTCAGATGTGTTGCTTTCAGGAGCTGAAAGTCAAGGCTGTATTAAGTTTCACTTTGTCCTATTTCATGTGCCTTCCTATCTCTTCTGAGCAGCTGTTTTCCCCCCTTCTTTTTAGCAGCGCTTTTTTTTTTTATTTCTTGCAATTTGAACATGCCCTATCTTTGAGCCCCCTGGGGTCTGGCGCCTTTTCTGATATTTTGCTGTTAAGTGTTGCATTGTTTTCCTGTGCCTGATCTTTTCTTTTATTCTCTGTGTGCAGTACTGTGATGGGATGGGGAGGATGCGCACTAGATAGCTGGAACAGGCAGTTGGTAGAACTGTGGGAAGGAGTGGGGTTTATGCTGTGAAGCCTGAATAATACTGTTAAGAAGTGTTTTAGCTCTGTTTGCACAGCAAGTGCAAATCTATACTGAAAGAGTTTAAAATCTTTTCATCTGGGATATGTGTTAACTGCAATTGACATGCAAGCAAGAAATCCAGTTGTCTTCACTTCGTCTGGATTAATACAAATGAAGTCTATTTGCAAGTTGCACTAACGTGATATGCTGGAACATCAGAAAGCTGCTTTGTTTTATGGCCAAGCTGTACAACCGAAGCCCTGGTCTCTGTGGTGCTTTGTCCACAACTTATAATTGAAGAACTTTTGAACTCATAATTGGAAAAATTCCAAAGTTGAAACAAAATAACAAAACAGATATTGAAGTGTGGTTCAATTTTAATACCAAAGAAGCTTTTGTCTTTGCTCAGGTGTCAGCTTATTTTCCCCTTCTTGGTTGCCTCAGCATGTCTGTGCTGCTGCTTCTAAAAACAACAAAAAACCTCAGAGCCTCAAAAACAAACTTGCAGCAATTCAAATTTTTGTCTTTTAGAGACTCTGATGCTGACAGTCTCCTCTCTGCTTTTCTCACATGCTTTTGATGATGGTGGAGGATAATTGATCTTTTGCAGGAGGGGGATGAAAGGAGGAGAAAGGTGTCTTTTCCAGAGGTGTTTTGATTTATAAACTCCTAGCATTCAATCTGTACCAATTGTGTCTCCTTAGACAATTAGGCCTGAAGAAGATTAGTTATCAGTGTTTTACTGTTGACTGTTTCTGGAAAAAAAAAATAGTTAAACCACCACTGCCTTTACTGAGACTGTTCCTGCAGTACCTGATTTAAATGCCAAATAGACTGTTCTATACACTATACTACACTGTAGGTTCTGTAAGGAAGGTGCTTCGCCAACTTTGCATTTTTTACTTGAGGTTCAGTTAGGAAATAGCTCAGCAGTTAGATGTGCCATCTAAGTCTGCCTAGTTGCTTCCCCGACAGTGAGTCCAGCAGAAGGAAACGTACGCTTCCAGCTCAGGTATTTTGGTGCTCGTCCAACATCTGAGTCCAGTACTACCATCTTCGTGAAGCTGAGGTGCTATTTTGTATGCCACATGGGTGTACGATTCCTTCTGCCGAGGGGGATAATAGCTAACGAAGGGCTGGTAACTTACTACCACAGCTGACACAAAAATCATCCAGAACCACTTGATCAGTGCGTTGAGCTTCTTGTTTTCACATAGCTGGACTCTTACTTCAGGCCACAGAGGAACACGTGGTATACTGTGGTCTCCAGAGGACTCTTCCAGCCATGCAGGCCAGAGCATGCAAACATCTTAATTCAACAGTATTAGAGGATTTTAGCCCAAAAGCCTCTAATTTCAGGTGCTCCTTTTTTACACTGGCCACATGCTGGTGTCTGGACCAGAGGATGGTGCTACAGAACAGACCTGAGGTGGTGAGGGATTGTTAGTGGGTTTGTCTGTCACTTGAAATCAAATCTGCTCCAGCCCAAAGTGGCTGACTGTGGCTCTGACAGCGGCCGTGGCTGATCTGCCAACTTGAAAGCATCGTGTACGCTGCCCAGTAGAGTTGGGTCTACAAATGGGCCAATGTGGGTTCATTAAGTGCCTTTCCCTGAATGAGATATTTGACAT